TTTAAAAACAACTTAGATCAATTTTAAGACGACGCTAGGACGACTGACGAACCGTCGTGGTCTACATATTTAACCACGCAAATACAAAGCTACCGTCGTCTTATTTAGTTGAATTAGTTGTGTTCAAAGTTGTAACTTTCCCTCTCTTTCTGTGTATTTTATCAAACTTGAAAGAGTAAAAATGATTTTCGCCAGAAAAAAGGTAAAAAGATTTTCAAAACAAAAACAGTATGAGCATGCAAAATAGCAACAAAAATAGTGAGAAATGAAAGCTTACCTTTTGCGTGCAATGAAAGCTTTCTCTCGGATTTTGGTGTTTAAGTTCAGAGGCGACGACGAAGACAAGAGGAAGACGATGAGATACTCTGACAAGGAAAAAAGACGAAAAGTTTTCTCTGGGAGATTGAAATTTTTTCTCGGGTTTGGAAACAGTGCATGTGTAAGTCAGGTAGACGAAAAGTTGTATATGTATACAAACCGTTTCATAGTAATAAGACGGCGGTTTACATATAACGACGACGTATTAATAGACAAACTACGACGTTAATTTGAACTTATGACGTGGTACATAATACGACAGTAGTGTTGTAGATACCGCCGTAGTAAACTCCTAAATAAAAGTCGATAACTCAATATCTCGCGTCATGATAGAAATATTTAAGACGACGGTTGTTTTAAATTTACGACGTTTATTTTTATAATATACGTCGTTTTATTGTAATATACCGACGTGGATAACACTAAACTAAAACGACGTATTATTTTTTTCACGACGTGGATTCGTTTTTACACGTCGTTATGTGTAATATAACCGACGTGGATTTTATTTTTTTATTATAAATATAATTTTTTTCTCCTTTTTCTTATAGTTTATTTTTCAAAAACAGTGCCTTATACATATAGTTTTTTTTCCCGAGGAAATTAATGTTCTAGAATTTATAAAGTTTCTTTTCTAGGTGACTGATTTAAATCAAATAAAAATATAAAACAACGACTGTTTTTGTTATACCGTCGTTGTTTCTTGTCGTCTTAAGTAAGAAGAAAACGACGTAATGTATTTGTTACCGACGAGGATTATTTTTGTTAAACGTCGTTATGTGTAATATAACCGACGTGGATTTGGTTTTTTAATTATAAATAGGGTTTTTTTCCACGGGTTCTTTCAGTTTAAGTATTCGATTAGGGTTTCAACTTCTTCTTGCCCCTTTCTCTGTCTCACCTCATCTCTTGGGAGGCAATTGTTTGAATGTTGGTTATCTGTGGCTGATTGCAAATCTGATTGCAAATCACCAATTTTCAATAAATTGTCTCGCTGATTGCAAATCTGTGGCTGCCGTCGTGAAGTTTTAGGAGGCAATTGTTTGGATGTGAATGTGTGTGTGCGTTTGTGTAGATACACAAACGCACACGCATCATTCACTTCCAAAAAATTGTCTCTCTGATTGCAAATCTGAGGCTGCCGTCGTCAAATTTCAGATGCAATTTTTTGGATGTTAATGTGTATGTGCGTTTGTGTATCTCAAAGACACAAATACACATACATCATTAACCTCTAAAATATTGTCTTCTGGTAAGATGATGATGAGCAACAGAGTTCCATCTTGTAAGATTTCCTAACCCTTGTGATCTCAGAATAATCTGATTATGTCGGCGGTTTTCTATATAAACCGTCGTGGTTATTTCAATTCTTGTCGTTAAGTAGATCTACCGACGTAGGATAACAAAATCCAAGAAATAAATTGTTAAAAAAAATTCTTATTCAGACGACGGTTTAAATATAATGTATGACGTATAAAGTGGACAAATACGACGTTAAATTATATAATACGTCGTTATATGAAAACCCCAACTTGGTAAGAATTAAAGATGTCGTCGTAGAAATACGAGAAAGACGTCGTTATATTTACCTTTGCCGTAGTTGTACATTAATTTAATACGGCGGTATTTTGTATTTTACCGCCGTGGATTTATTTGTAATTATACGGCGCCTTATACGAAAACTTGGTCGTGTTAATTTCCGGGTAAAAACGACGGCTTTTTTTGAAACCGTCGTCTTTACTTTCTACATCGGTCGGTTCATAACTTCCGCCGTTATTTGTTGGCTATGATTTTACCTCTTGAAAATCCTATTTCAATAAGACGTCGGTTTTTAAATTAAGTACGTCGTGTTTTATGAACAGCCATTTGAAACTCCATTTTTTAGTTGTCTAATGTGTTATTACACGGCGGTTTTATAAAACCGTCGTCTTTTAAAAAACAACGACGGTTTTCACTTAGACCGTCGTGTTTTTCTGGTCGTCTTTTTCACTTTTTGTAGTAGGTTATTTAATGTGTTATTACACGGCGGTTTTATAAAACCGTCGTCTTTTAAAAAACAACGACGGTTTTCACTTAGACCGTCGTGTTTTTCTGGTCGTCTTTTTCACTTTTTGTAGTAGTGTTTGTTTAATATTTTCCAAATAATAGTAGGAAGCTAGAGTTTAACAATAAATGATTCCATGCAAAGGACTCACTAGTGTAGTGGTTTGGAACAATTGCTCTCCCAAGTAAGGTCCTGGGTTTGAGTCATAGCATCAATATAGTATATATGTGAGTTTAGTATATTATTGCCCCTCTCAATAGGAATGGTCTAAAAAAAAAAAAAAATTGCATTTTCTAACAATTTGATGATCACCTAGCGGACAAAGTCCATGTTAACTCCCCGTTGGAACTGATTGGGTTCAAATTTTCCTGGACAGCACCTACGTGCATTTCTTGTGGGTATAGAAAAGGTCTGAGAGGCATTTTTAGGCTTTCACCATCTCCTCCAAGCATTTCTATAACTTTATTCATCGAAGGGCGATCACTTGGCTTCATTTGAATACACCACAATGCAGTTATAACCATCTTTTTTATTACTTTCTTTTCCTCCTCGTTAACATCTCTCATCTCCAAGTCATTTCCCTTGTTATATTGATCGTACGCCCATAATGGGAAGTAGATTTGGTTTGAATGCTCTACCATTGTACTCCAATTCTTCCTTCTACTTGCCATTTCCATAAGCAACATTCCAAAACTATAGACATCGGCTTTGTACGAGACACCTCCAATATTTTTGTAGAACAACTCAGGAGCAATATAGCCCATTGTTCCCCTTGCTGCCGTCAAAGAGACAATGCTATTATCTATGGGATATAATTTCGCAAGCCCAAAGTCAGAAATCTTAGGGTTAAAGTTCTCATCAAGAAGAATGTTATGAGGCTTAATATCAAAATGTAGAATTTGCATGTCACAACCTCGATGCAGATATTCAATCCCTCGAGCCACTCCGAGAGAAATCTCGTACATTTTCATGCAACTTAAGGGCATGCTTTCCTCTTTGGAATAAATATATTTATCAAGAGAGCCATTTGGCATGAAGTCATATACTAGAGCACGATTTAATCCCTCAACGCAATAACCAACAAGTTGCACCACATTAACATGGTGAATCCTTCCAATGGTAGCTACCTCACTTGTGAAGTCTTGCCCGTTACCTTTGGCCTTGCCCAAGAGTTTAATTGCTACAAAACGGCCACTACGCAACTTCCCTTTGAATACAGAGCCATAACCACCTTCACCTAACTTCTTCTTAAATTTACTGGTCATCTTTTTAATTTCTGAGTAAGAGTACCTTATTGGCAAAAAGTTGCTATCACTTTGTAGAAAATCTTCTATGATGCTATAACTCGACAAATGCCTTCTTCGCCATTTATAGATCACGAATACAATCAGACATGGAACCCCAAAAATTAGTCTTGCTGGAAAAAATAAGCCTGACAAGAGATATATATCACCAAAAAGAATCATGAGAAAACAAATTTATTGGTTAGATCAACTAATGCTTTCAACATTTTTCTTGTTTTGTTTCAGAAATATGTATTCTTTGATGTCATTCAAGGGTAATATATACAAGTCCTTACCGATGTAAATGAGTGTCACCCATATAAGTCCTGCAAGAAATATAGCAAAAGTGAGGACAAAATCAAAGACTTGACTATAGGTTTTCGAAAAGTGAACAAAATCAAAAAATTGATTATATGCGAGAAATCAAGATCTTACTGGTGGTTGTGAACGGCAAAAACCGTCGACTATTATCTGCAAAAATACAAGAACAAATGTAAGTAAAAACAAAGACTTGACTAAGTTTGAATTGACCTTTTTTTTTCACAAGTTCATTAGTATCCACTCACAATTGGCGTGATGTAATTGACAAGAAAAAAGGAGGAAAAGAAAAAGAAATAAAAGAAACTTTTGGGGAGAAAGTCCTTACAAACGGACAAGCGTGCACGAGTAACGAAACCTACAATGACCAGAAAAGGGAAAAACAAAAAAGAAACAACATTAGCACCTCGAGTATTACAATTTGAAATACCTATATTCCAGCCACAAACTGCATCATTGCTCATGGAGAAATTGTTTTGGTATGTCTTATTTTGAGCAAATATTCTCTTACGAGACAAATATTTATGTTGTCAAATTATAAATATGGACACTTATGAAACAGTCAAATTTATATATGAAATTCATAGTATGACAAAAAAATAAGCTGTTTATATTGCCATACAATTTAGAAAGATAATTACATCTTATATTTAAACTTTTTAATTGAGGGTTTTGATATAATATTTATTATTACATTTCCCAGTGGAATCAAGCCTAAAGTGAATTGGAACATGGGATTTCATAAGTCCAAAAGTCTAAAGGAAGCTGACCACATACCTAATTGAAACAAAAGAAGGTGCAACAGTATTAACAAGTTGAGATAATAGTTTGTGCATGAGAGGTAGCCCCTTAACATTTATGATGTATCTCATTCAATTATTTTTGTTTTGTTTTTGAGAACATCTCATTCAATGTTATTAAAAATATCTTTAATTAGTAACAAGCTCCTTTTGTCCTAGGTTCATTTTACATTGAAAAAATAGAAAATAACATATAGCCAGACAGAGAGAGAGCTTTTACCGTAAATTTCCACACATATTAATCGAATGAAACCTACACGAACAAAGAAGAAGATAACATATTAGCACACCAAGTCCTTAAACTTAAGGATCAATTACATTTTCCGTTCTTGTGGTTTGATATGTGTACAATTTGCCTATGTCTTTTAAAAATGGGCAAAAACGACCTTAAAGTTATCAATCGGTATACCATTTGCCCCTCTGTCGGAAACTAGTTGCTATTTTTTGACCTTGTACTTGGTTAGCTTATATTTTAGTTATATTATATGGATGCCAGATTGATGTCATGTGGCCCATTTTTCAACCCTCTTTGTATTTAGAAGGCTATGATTTTCTTTAAAGAAACTCTTTATTTGTTGTCCCAATGACATAGGGTGATCCACGTAGAATGAAACCTGACTTTATGTAAGCAAAACATAAGCCCAAAGCCGACTGCTATACCGAAAAGCAAAGTGTAACTTGAGGGTTTAGACTAGCGTAGTGACTAATGATGTAAGAATTCTTAATTTAGGGTTGCTTCTGCTAATTTTTTATAAAACATTGTCAATCTGCCTTTATTATTTTTCTTGAAAAAAGTTTACCAAGGACTTGTACCTGACAGATTGATTATCTAGTATTATCCAATGAGAACTTTGTCATGTGTTGTAAGTTTATCTAGAGTGGTGATTTCTCCACTTCTTTTTCTCTTATTTTATCCACTTACACTCCTTTTTTATAACTAAAAAAGGAGTGTATGTGGATAAAATAGGAGTGAGAAAATCATTGCCCTTTATCTATAATCAAAATTTCATGACACATTGAATTACGAGGTATCGTAAGGGATTTGTAACTCAAGTAATTAAAAATATTTATTCTTGAATTCTAGGTCCTAAATTCGATTCCTCCTCCTTCTCATGTCGTTTGTATAAATTAAAATAATAATAATAATAATAAAGAAGAAGGTACTATTCCTATGGTAACTGAGTTGTATGCCATATGTTTTGGCTTGCAATTTAAACAGATTTTGGTGTCAGATGAAGGTGTGTGTTACTGGATGAGATTGGATTCTTATTTTTTGACATATGTATTTGAATCTCACTTTACAAACTCATTTTGTCTCACTCTATTTTTCACACATATTTATCTCACTTTTTCTAGATTCTGGAGAGGCCAACTGGTCAAAATATTAATTAAAAATAAAATAATAAGATTAAATATTTAAAACATAATATAGTAGAAAAACCTAAGAAATTAAACACCTAAACCCTAGCCACCACCATCCCAACACCCAGCCTTCTTCTGGTTCTTCGCCCAACAGATCAAATCAAAATAAGAAAATCAAATTCCAAGAAATAAAATCAGAAAACCAAACCAAGTAATCAAAAGAATCATATCAAAAATCAACCCACAAAACCAAATCATACCCAACCATTCTCCAACCACCCAACTTCCTCTACATACTCGACACTAGTTTCACCACAGCCCCCACCACCAGTTCAACTGCAACATCCTTCCAACCACCATCGAAGCCACCCCCATCCAATACCTCATCCCATCACCCCAAACCCTCCCAAGATTAGTCTCCCCATCCAAACCCCCACTATGGTAACTAATCAAAATCAATGAAAAAATTGAAAAACAAATCCACATCTCAAAGAGAGAGACGAAGAGATTGGTGGGTATGTGGATTGGATATTCGGGAGATGGGTGTTGATTCAAAGGTGTGGGTAGTTTGGTGATGGGGGTTTGGATCAGGTATCAAATGATGTAAGTTGTTATGGGACGAGGGTTATGGGGAAGAGAGAGAGAGAGAGTGGCAAGGCAGACCTGCTGGAGGTGGTCTAAGAAATTGTTGCACCGAAATGACAACGCCAGCGGGATTCG